CCTCGTGTTAAATTAACATAAAAATTTGCATGCAACGTTTGGAAAATATGTGCATTAAATTTAAACGTTAAAATACGTTTAACGCAAATTTTCCAATTGTAAACAAAATTTTATTAGAAATGACAGAATGTTAGAAACGAATACGCGTTACCTAGGATGGTTGATTGCATATATCCATGGATCGATGCACGACACCGTCTTGGCGAATATGGCTGGTAACATAGTCGACAACGGAGTAAGCGCTTCGCTGAAATATATATAAAATGAATTGAAGAGGAAAGTAGAAAACTTTTCGAATCGAAAAATATTTTCTATCTTGTTACCGATTTCCATAGGCTCCAGTTAAAGCGACTACTGCATACGGTGTCCATGCAAGCACAAACAGGAAAAATATCGTAAATGCAACTTTTGCAATTCTCATCTCAACACTTCTCTCTTTGTTTTGGTTTGATACGAGTGATTTGACGTTCATCTTTTTAGCCTATGAACATACAACGCATCATACAAAATAAATCTTCTACAATTTATGTCATCGAAGCTTAAGATCGATTTGTCATTAGACTGGAATCGCGAAATTTTTGCTTACTTGATCGCGGAGCATTTTCTCATGAGAGCGAATAGATTTCAGTAATTGCGAATAAAAGTATATAATCAGCAACATAGGCAGAACATACGCCCAGAAGAATATTGTTATTACAAATGTCCTCGTGTCCTCATCATCCGTTAGATAATCGAAGCTACATGTCGTGAGGAAACCCTCTGAAAATCATATAATATTTAATATGTACTAAATGTCTATAATGCTTAACTTCTTTACTAGGAAATCAGATAATAAAATTACCCTAAAAATCCCAAAATACGTTTTATCTTATCTTTTAAACTCAAAAATTTCAAACGGCAAATTATTCGCGAGATGAAAATATAAGTAATCGCAGGAAATTATAATATGGAGCTTAAATACGAAAATGAAATCTTATTACTTTAATATAATAAAATCTTATTACTTTACTTATTAAATTTAAAGTACTCTCTCTCTCTCTCTCTCTCTCTCTCTCTCTCTCTCTCTCCCTCTCCCTTCTCTCTTTCTTTATTAAATCTTATTACTTTTCTAATAATAAAAGAAGGATAAAAGGAACTTGTTTACCTGCCACATATCGACCCCACAATCCCGTCATAGGCAATATCGAGAATGGCAGTGCCCAAAACCATGTGAATAGAGCTAGTACCATAGCTTGTTTTCCATTCAGTCTACCGTCAATCGGACAGCTAATTGTCCTGTAATATCAAGACGTAATAGAATAATTACAATCCTGCCGTTATTATTGATTAAATTGATTAATGATAAGTGCCGAGAAACGTTTATTAGATTAAAATGTAAAATTCTTTCTATGAGTCTGTTAACGTTGTCATCGACATAGTCGTTTACAATGTACTGTAGTCGTTAAATTTTAACGAGCGTGTAATCGCTTTGTAATTGTTCAGTAATTGATTCTATAAAAATGCAATTAAATTTGTTCAATAGTAATCAATAAAAACAATCAAAGTCAAATCGCGCGTGCCGACCTGTATCGATCGAAAGCGATCGCTGCGTTGGTAATCGCTTGTCCCATCCCGGAAATCGCACCGAGCAAAGCATACACATCGCATCCGGTCTCCCAACCAATGGTTCGTTCCAGGAAACTGTTTATGATCAACATAGGCATCTCCGTTGCCATCAGTAGATCGAACACAGCCAAATTCAAGATAAATATATTCGATGGTGTCCTCAATGATTTTGACCTAACCATTAATATATCAAAATAAATATTCATTACGGTAAACATTGATTAATTTTAAGAAAGATTTTGTTTAGAGGAAAAATATAAAATAGAGAGAATGTGATAATATTTTCTATCATACGTAGCAAAGACTGTACCAAAGTAATTCAGTCTCACGTATAAAGATGGCGACAGCACCACCGTTTTGTCTTATGAACAAGGATATTTACGTACATTCAGTTTTAATAAGAGATAGTAGTAAAGTAATAATCAAAATTTTAAAAAAGTCGAAGAAAAATACAATCTATAAATCTATAAATTTAATAAAAATAAAAATAATAAGAAACAAACGTCTTGATGTAGGAACAGGAACATTGCGCAAAATAAATTTATATAATTATTTATATAGTTTAACTCCTCTTTTCTTCTTTGATAAAATGTTACAAATATTTGCAGTATTAATAGCATAAATTAAAAATTGTGTGTTAAGCGTTAATAAGATTATATACAATTTACAATCATTAAAAAATCGGATAAAATTATATAATTCTTAAAATTGCGTATATTTTAAAAGCGCACATTTTATAAAAATACATTGCATGTTTAATATATCACATATATGGTATATAGTTGAATTTTTTGAAACTATATTACTTACAATTATTGTAATTTTCAATATTTAATTAGGCATTTTTTGCTGTATTAATTTTCAAATCGTCTTATAGAATTTTTTTAAATGGTACATTAAATGGTAAACTTACGTGCTAAAAATCCAAATAACGATACCATTCCCAAGGAGGGACAACATCAGAAGCAAAAAATAAATGAGCGCGAGGGCGACATGCCATAGTCTTCCGGGTGCGAGGAATACACGCCAATGTGGGTGCACGAGATCCGCGTGCTCAGGGGGGAAGTTCCATCCTAGGAAATGTTCCTGCAGTGGCTGTACATCTCTGTTATTTAAAAATACACCGGTAATTAATATTTGATCACACGAAGTTATTCAAATTTTCGAAACTCTAACTGCCACAAGTAAAGTTTCCATAAATTAAATAATAGAAGCTTATATATTTTTCACGTTTTAATTCAGCAGATTTGATTCAGAATTTTAATCCAGTGTTTAATTACCGTGATGATTAATGTTAAATACTGAAAGGATATTTTGTAAAATGCTTTATAAGCTAAAAATGATTTTGAATCTGATGAAATTAACGTCAAAAGTTAAGAATACTTGGAAAATTGTTTTAAGATAAGAAACATAATTATAATATTTAAATAAGAATCGTGCAAAATTATAATTTTTCTTTAATTTGATTAAAACGCGATAAAACAAAATCCTAAATCACTATCTACAGATTAAATGGGTAGCCAAGAATTTCCATAAGACCTAGGAGGGTAATTTCTGTCGCTTCCTTCGTGACCGGCATTATTACTCCGTCACGACATCGCAAATGTAAAGGTTGTAGGACAAATAGCTTTCGCGTCGACGATAAGAATTGCGACTTTCCCAAGTAAGACGACCCGCAAATTCGCTACATCGATCGCGATGCAATGCAAAGTAGACGTGATACATTTACGCGCAAATTCGTTCGATGATAAAATCGCCGCCAATACGGTCAAAAGGGCATAATATCACGAAAAATTTCGATCCGCTATCGACGAGAGAGAATTCAAACATTATACATTAATCTCGTACAACCGAAACTTGTGCCAGGCAAATAATATTGCGAAACCTTATCTGCGTGCAGCCGATGTTACACGTTATTATCGGTAGCATTGTTATTTTTGTTGTTACACCATCACCACCGGCGGCTATTTGGAGAAAAAGATTTTCATTCATCGCGCGGAAAATGACGCGTTTTCACGTACAGCGAACATTAATGGTAATGAGATCCATTCGCATGTACCATCGATGGATTAAATCCGGCCGTGCGCTAATTGTGATGCCGAGTGATTATTAGTCCTTCCGGCTTATCGTAGGATCTATGTAGCAACGTAGCTCCGTAATGCGCGCATGATTTGATAGCCTATCTATTCGCCGGTCGTAAGAGCTCCCTAAGCTCTTCCTTATCGCATCGCGATCTTATTCGCGAATGAAACGCTGCATCTATGTTGCGTTGTGTACATGGGCTTGCTGAGAACTTTCATGTTTCTCGCTCGCACCCACTCTGCTTTCATATTCTCCCTCGTGCCGCGAATATTATCAGCGGCTCTTCGCAGCCGCCACACAATGTCAGATGATTATAAGGAGAAATACGGTATATATATATATATAGATAGATAGATAGCGCCACACCTACCCGACTCTGCTGGCGAAAGCCAATGGCCCAGCCACGGTACCACTACCATTATGCATCAACATCCTTCGATGTAAGTCGAGTCGCGGGCTGACAAGTGCACCGCTCGATGCACTATTTGATGCAACCCCCCGCTGAAGTTTGCCAGCTAGTTTTCCAAGTTAACTTGTGAACACGAACGACCGGACGGATGCGTGGGAATAATTTCTCTCTTTTCTCTTGCGGTCTGACTTGTCGGCGCTGCGGACACAGACGACGACGAATCTCCCCGGACGAGATGTATACTTTAAAGCCGTATGTAATAGCTGTGAGAGTTTCCTAGATTGAAGTGAGACGCGATGCGAAGGGGGTGGGCGCACGTTCCGCAACTCACTTGTCCGGTCACGCCGTTATCGCTCTCTTTTATACGTCCACGACATTTCGGATCGAGGATAGCGTGCCGCCTGAGAGCTTAATTTGATTTGCGATTTACCGAATGCGAGAAACCTTTCGCTCTGGCCCGAAGCTCGTCCGTCACGCGACCGATCCTTATTGCACGATCTTTCTCCTTTCTTTCTCTTTCTCTTGGCAAGTCGACACATCCTCTCTCCTAATGTATCGTAATCTCTATTCAAGGTAATCACAGTTATTCGATTCGCCATTTTATGCGGCGTTGGCATTGGAATATTCCCTCGCAAGCACACGACAGTTGAGCTTGTTGGCAAAAATGTAACGTACTATATAATACATTATGATAATTCCTGCCGCAGTTGAGAGACTAAATTGAGAGAACTAAATTAATTTCCGCGCGAGAGACCTCTCGCAAAGCTAAGTCGGCTCATTAATGAATCAGCATACTTATCCTCCAATATATAGATAATATAACATCAATTTCTCTCAAATATCCCCCTCTGATGAAATGGAAGGTGTTAAATAGCGAAGCGTTAATTTAAAAAAAAAATCGATTTCCGATATAATAAAATGCAATTTACAGAAGCGCGTGGCTATTCTCGAGTTAATTAAATTTCCAATGTAGATCCTAATCGAGGTTTTATTACACCTTATCGTATAACCAGTAGTAGCCGATGGACCGTGGCCGCAGAATGCAACGCGACCGATAGGAAAATTCGAGAACAAGCGCGGGAGGGTGCGTTTCCCGTTACACCGCGAGCTCTCGTAGTCGGCCACAGAGGTTTTTCACTCTCGCGGTTACTATGTCGGCGGCGATGCACGCGGGAAATTCATCTCGAGGAGTGCACCCGATATACGGCCGTGCAAGCGACGGCCTCGTGTTTTCACCACTGTCCTCGTTCGCCCGTTCGCGACCGCAGCCTTCACGCATCCACTGGATTAAATCATAAAATTGTCCCGGAACGGTTGCGAAATTCCGTTGATTTACGAGCGAGACTGTGACTCTCGTGGACTCTTCTCTCGCGCAGATACTCGTAGCTGTTATCCACCTACTGGCAGTTATCGATAAATCCGCTCCGGCTGTCCCGTATGAATTCTCAATTTTTTGTTGCCTATCTCGATAAAGATGATTTTTGAAACGGAAGGAAGAATTCCATCATCCACGAAAACACATGAAAGAGACTAGAAAACAGAGTGAAATTGGAATCTCTCTTTCTTTTTTATACGAAAAGCTTTAATACAGAAAGCTTTAGAAGGATGTTAGTGTAATATATAAAAAGAAGATTGTGCAATTAAACTGAGTTAAGCTTATTGTATAGATATTATTGTTTAGCTATCATTAAAATAAGAAAAACTTATTTTTATTTACTGATATATGAAGAAATTTATTGTGTTAATATATAATAGTTATAAGATTATATATATAT